TAGACTTGCAAATGAGCCTCCTGCCTCTGCCTTCCAAATTCTGGGAGTACAGGAGTGTGCCACCACACCTGGGTATTTTTCTTTATTATGTAGCATAATTTCCCTGGGCCCCATCCAACTTGTTCTGCAGATCCATAGTTTATTTGTTTTTATTGCTGCATACCATTCTATGCTATAGAAGTACAACAGTTTGTAAACCTTTTACCTGTTTAAACACTTAGATTGTTTCAGTATCTTGGAAACTATGGGAAAAAACTGATGTAAATATTCATGTCCAGATTTTGTGTGAGCATAGATTTTTATCTCTCAGGAGCATAGTTGCCGGATTGTATAAAAAGTGTATAATAGGTTTGTAAGAAATTGCCAATCTGTTTTACAGTGTGGCCATACCATACGTTATATTCAGCAATGTCTGAGTGATCTGGTTTTTCTGTACCTTTGCAAACATTTGGTATTATCATTAATTTCATTTCAGTCAAGCTGATAATTGTGTTCATACTTTCTTTTTGGAAAGCTGTATACATTTTAAAGCAATTGAGGGGTATGTTAGTTTTTAGCTGCTATAACAAACATCCAAGACAATCAACTTATAAAGAGAAAAGGGTTATTTTAGCTCAGTTTTAGAGGTCTCAGTCCATGATTGGTTGACACCATTGCTTTGAGACTGTGGCAGCACATTCAGAAGTGAATGGCTGAGCCAAACTGTTCAATTCACGGCCAAGAAGCCAAAGAAAGGAAGAGAGGACACACAATCCCTGAGAGCACACCCCCAGTGACCTAAAGTGACCTAAAGACCCCTCACTCAACCCCATATCTTAGTTTCCACAATCTCCCAAAAGGGCCTCCTTAAAGACAAGCCTCTAACATGTGGGTCTTTGGGAGACATTTAATATACAAGGTGCAGCAAGCCAATACTAACAATTTAAGCTTCCTCTATGCCTGGCTCAACATTAGGCTCTCAGAGCATGGAAAGGACCTCACTCCTGTATGTGGGACACTGCAAGAGGAAGCAGATTCTTCCAAAGTCAGCTGTAAGAGCCTTACAGGCTCAAGGGTAATGATGTATGTTGGATGATGAACCCTAAATCCTTACCAGGAACCTGTGTGCCTGTGTTGGGAAGAGCTTCTCTGTGGGCCACCCAACTGAGAGGGAAAAACAATCACAATTCTGCGTGAAGGTGGAAAAGGAAATCACGTTTTGGATCTAGTACAGGCTCAAGTTAGCTGCTTGCAATTCCAGGTGAAAGAAATGATACTGACTGTTTGGGTCTCCAAAAAAGGGTTCAGATTCTGTGTTTTGTGAAGAAATAACAAAGCAGCCCAGATGTGGTGAGTCAAGAGGATCTCAGTGAGTTCAAGGCCAGCGTGAACCACACGGGGAGACTCTGTATTAAAAAAAAAGGGTGGGGGGAGGAAACTAGAACCAGAATAAAACTAACAAGTGTTCCTGCCCATGTGTAGCAAAATCGGGGTGATTCTGTTTTCAATCTGAAAGAACATCATGTCCTTTCCCAGTAAGTTACGTTAAAGAAGATTCCTAGGAGTCTTTCCAAGCCTAATTCTAGCTCTCTCAGCTTCTGTCTACTTTGTTAAATGTAAGGCCTGGAGATCCCCTTATTGATAGTTATAAATACGGATAAAGCCAAGTGTTGGCACATCCCTGTAATCCTAGCACTCAGGACGCAGAGGCAGGAGGATCACAGGAAGTTTGAGGCCAGCCTGGATTACATAGAGAGACCCTATCTCCATAAAAAATTAAATTAAGTAAATATGAACAAAACAGTGCTACTGTACAATTAATAGATCTCAGTTATCTAAGGAGCAGATGGTCTTTATATATCAAAAATAAACAGCTTTTTTAAAAAAACCCTTAAAATTTTAAAACAATTCTTTGAACAAAGACCAGTTTTGTTTGGAAAGACACAGCACACTGTGCTCAGGACTCCACAGGGAATAACACTATCAGGGAACTCTCTGTCCCTCCTAGAATACCATTCTCCACCCCTGCCCTTCCTGCCCTTCACCCTAGGGAATATCTGTTGTCCTCAGTCTGGTCAGATTAGGAAAAAAAAAATCTTTATTTATACTCACACTACTTCAAAAAGCTTTGAAGAAATGTATAAGTTAAAATACTTTCCTCTATAAAAACAGAGCAAAAAGGGAAATAGAACCAAAACTAGTTAAAAGGAACAGAAAAACTAGGTATGGCTAAATGAGCATCTATCACCCACAGTGACCAGCTTCAAGGCATGCCCAGCTGCTAACACAACCATGCTATAGCATGCATTTTAAAAGCCATCATCTGGCTTTCCCCCTGAGGCTGTCAAAGCTCAGTCTACTTTCCTGCATTTTCTATATCACTATTTTGTTTCTCAATTACTGAGCTCTTAGTGGCTCATCAATTTAAAGGAACATTTTAAGGAGGTTCTAGTAGTCTGACTCCTGCTAATGGCCATTATCCCTGGTAGAAAACAGTACAGTACAGATGGCTTTTCTGTTGCTTCTATGCACAAACATTATTCATCTCCAAAACTCACTGATACTTTGCAAAGATATGATAATGCAAATGCTATGAACTGAACTGTGTCCCTCTCAAAACTTGGAAGTTGAACCACCAATCTCCAAAATGATCTGGAAGCAGAGCCTTAGGGAGGTTAAATTCGTGTCCTAAGAAATTCGTATCTTAAGGAAAGATCAGTGCATAAATGTCCTCTCCCCACCTTCGAGGACACAGTGTGAAAGTCATCAGTCATAAGCCAGGAAGAGTCATTACCAGGACCCAAGCAGCTGACACCTTAAACTCTCAGACTTCAAACTGAGAAATAAATGTTTGTTCTCTAAGTCACCTAGCCCAAGCTGAGCTACTAAGAATGCTAAATTAACTGGTAAATGTGTGCTGTGTGAGAGTAGGGGCCTTGTCTTTCTTGTCCCTCAGTGTCCCAGCATCTGGACTCTGATTTTGATCAAAAATCATTGAGTGTCTTCTTTGAGCAGCATGCTGGTTCTAGAATTTCTGGAGGAATGTAGATCTTGAAAGGGTTTTGGCCCAGACAGGACACTGTAGCTAGGAAAGCCTCAACTGGAAGCAGGAAGTCCCTATCTCTCCCGCCCCTAGGAATTTATCTGTGATGCCAACTTCCCGCCCCTGGGAAATTTACATATGGCGCCAAACCTAGGACCAATGGGCTACCTGTACATCCCTAATGCCCGCCTTAGGTTCCACCCCAAACCAAGGCTACTTACATAGCTCCACGCCACGTGTCTGCTGGAGAGAGCACTGGACTCCAGCCATAGGGGGTGCCTGTCATCTCTCTCCGTGTTCTCAGAATAAAGACCGCTTTTTGTTTTATACTTCTCATCTTTTGGAAATATTTTTCATCTTTTGGAAATAATCCTATCATTTGGTGCCGTGACTTGGATCAGCAAGCAATCCTGAGACACACCCAGTCGAGTCCCCAGCCAATAACATCCTGGATTAATTCTGCGCTTTCTCCTCTCCCGAGACGTCCTTGTCACCAGCGGCCTGCACTCACCATTGGCCAGATTAATTTCAGGTGAGCACTTCCCGGGGAACTTTTGGCACTGGGCAGCCCCAGTCGACTGTTCCCCCGTTCACATGGGTCTGTGCATTTTCACGTCCTTAGGACAGCCCAGGGCAGGGTTCTTTCTGGGCAAACCTGTGTCCACACTCTATAAAATCTCTCACGTTCTTTGGGTTCGGATAGCCCAAAGCAGAGATTTTTGGACCGCCCACACTGAAAGGCCCTCACTTCCCTTAAAGCCTCACGCTTTCATGGGCAAAACTGTTACTGACCCCACGTGGGCTCCTCTTGTAAATCTCTCAGTGAGTACTGGAATATACGAGTTTTTGGAACCTTAGCCACCGTGTGGTGCCACAAACAAGTGATGGTTTGTTCTGGACCATGGCTTATTTCTTGCCTGAATCAGTCATGGGAAACGTATTTTCTAACTCCCCAAAGACACCTTTACAATGCCTAATTTCCAATTTACATACTGTAAAAATTAAAAGTACCATAAAAACTAAACAATTAACTTTTTACTGCCAGGAGGTCTGGCCAACCTACCTGCTTATCAGCAATCGTTGGCCCAAGGAAGGAACATTTGGCCCCTGCCAATGTATGATTTGTATGATTTCTGTCAGGCCGGCGACAAGTTATTAGAACTCCCTTATATTCAGGCCTTTCTTATTCTGAGAACACGCCCATCTCTCATTAAGTCTTGTGCTCTCGCTGAGATACTTTTAGCTAACTCTACCGCACCGCAAACTTTTCCGTCCTGCCCTAAGGATTCACTTGAGGACGTTCCTCCGGTGTTTTCCTGGCCGCCACCTGCCTACCCCCAAACTTGTTTTCTGTCGTTACCTCCCACTGAACCACTCTCCCCTCCCCCTATGCCTGATTCTCTCAGCAGTCCTGGTCCCAATGTGTCACAGTTACCTCCCGCTGTGCGATCGTCTCCCTCTCCGCCTTCCGGGACCCATAACTCTCCCAGCAACTCTAATCACTCTGTTAGCGCTTCCTCAAAGTCTCCGATTTCTTGTTCTCCTGAGAATTCTCTATCCCCTACAGCATTCTCACCGCCCGCCCAACATACTAGGTCTCGGTCGCTATGTCCTTCCGGCAAGCTGCGTGACTGTTCCAGCTTGCATGGGGAACAGTCGCCATGTTGCAACCCTCTGCCACATGACAAGCCGCCATCTTGGGACAGAAGTCACGGTCAATGGGCGCCCCCTTGTGGTCCCTCTTGTGAACTGCAAGAGCCGCCCTGTTGCAGTGCACATAACGCTTCATTGTACTGCTGACAGCGATCCTCTAGCTGCAAGGCACACAGTGAGACGCCATCTGCCTGTGTTTCCCAGGGTGACCAGCAGCTGCTCTGTAGCCGCTCTATAGATGATTGCTCACACGTACCTACTGGACGGATGGCTGCCCAATGGCCCTCTGCTCCAGAATCTTCTCCTCAGGCTCTGCTACCATTTCGGGAGCAAGCTGGCCCCAAGGGACTTGTTAATAAATATGTGCTTTTTTCCCTTTCTGATCTATCCCAGATTGCCCATAAATTAGGTAGCTTCTCTGTTGACCCACAGAATTATATCAGGCAATTTGAATTTATTACTGATTGTTATGATCTGCATTTTAAGGATGTTTATGTGATTTTAAATACCACCCTTAGCTCACAAGAGCGAAATCAGCTGTGGCAGGCAGCTTGAGAAGAAGCTGATCGCAGGCATAGGGCAAACAAAACTGAAAACGACCCTGGGCCTGTTCCTGTGCCAGACCAAGATCCTGACTGGAACTATCAGAATGGACAAGGTTCACAAAAACTACATAAGATGATTGAGTGTCTCATTGTGGGCCTTAATAAGATTACTCACAAACATACAAATTATAAAAAGCTTTTAGAACAGGCCCAGGAGCCTAACAAAAAACCGGCTGTGTTTTTAAATTGGCTTTGGGAAACCTTAATCAAGTATACTAATGTAAACTTTCATGAAGGGATGATTGTTGTTAACTCTTATTTTATTTCACAGTCTGCTCCTGATATTCGTGCAAAATTACAAAAGGTTGAACATGGCCCTCAAACTCCACAAGGGGATCTACTTAAATTAGCCTTCCGTGTCTTCAACAATAGAGATAAAGTTCAAAAAGAGGAGAAGCAAGCTCAAAAATTAAAGTTTGCTAAATATCAGTCTGACCTCTTAGCAGTGGCACTCGGAGCTCCCAAGATAAAAAATCCACAAGGTGTGGCTGCCCGAGTCCCGCCCGGACCATGCTTCAAGTGCAGCAAACAAGGACACTGGGCAAAAGACTGCCCTAACCCTGGCATTCCTCTAGGGCCATGTCCATACTGCAACGTTAAGGGGCATTGGAAGAGCAACTGTCCTAGCCGCCAGCAAGCGGGTAAGCCATCCTCTAATCCTTCACCCACGTAGGAGACTCCATCAATGCCAGATTCGTCACTGACTGACCTGCTCGGACTGGCTGTGGAAGATTGATGGGGCTCGGGGCTCACAGCGCCCACTCTGGTAACCTTGTCGGAGCCCCGAGTCTCACTGGAGGTCTCAGGTAAGATAATATCTCTGCTTGTGGATATGGGGGCAACTTATAGTGTACTTCCTGAATTTTCAGGACCTTGTAGTAAGTCCTTGATTTCTGTTGTGGGTGTTGATGGCCAGCCAAATCAACCTTTGCAGACTGGGCCTGTCCCGTGTAGATTCCAGACTCTTTTCTTTACCCATAGCTTCCTAGTAATCCCAACATGTCCCACACCCCTTTTAGGTAGAGACCTTCTTAAAAGCTTAATTTTTCCTTCACTTTCTCTCTTCCCACAGCCCTAATCCTCCAAACAGCCTCATAATGCATGGCAAAGCCATTCCCTCCCCTTCCTCCTTCTCTGGTTAACCCCATGGTTTGGGACACATCCAATCCCACTCTGGCTACACATGCCATGCCTGTTTTAATCTGTCTCAGGGATCCCTCAATTTTTCCCTGTGTTCCCCAATACCCCCTAGGTCCCCAACATTTAAGGGGACTTAAACCCATAATTAAGCGGCTTTTAGACAACGGTTTTCTTAAACCTACCCATTCACCCCACAATACTCCCATTCTCCCGGTACTCAAGCCTGATGGGTCCTATCGCCTGGTACAGGACCTTAGGGTAATTAACAGTGCTGTTACCCCAACTCACCCAGTGGTGCCAAATCCTTATACCATGCTCTCTCATATCCCTCCCTCCACCACTCACTTTACAGTTATAGATCTTAAAGATGCCTTCTTCACTATCCCCCTATACCCTAATTGCCAAAACCTCTATGCATTTACATGGACTCACCCAGACACTCTCAGGTCTCAACAACTTACTTGGACAGTACTCCCCGAAGGGTTCAGAGACAATCCCCACTTCTTTAGTCAGGCTCTCACTACTGACCTCACAGAACTTGATCTCAAACCTAGTGTTCTCCTTCAATACATAAATGACCTTCTACAATGTTCTCCATCCCATATGTTAGCCATACACCACTCAGCCAGTCTTAGCAATTTCCTTGCTAGTCGTGGATACAGGGTCTCTCCTGCTAAAGCCCAGATAGCCTCCCCAAAAGTCAAATACCTAGGTCTTGCTCTCACCCCCACTACTTGCTCCCTCATCTCAGATTGTAAGGCAATTCTTCGTGATCTCCAGGTGCCCACAACTAAACAACAGGTTACATCTTTCCTAGGTTTAGCTAATTTCTTTCGTCTCTGGATTCCTAACTTTGCAGCCCTAGCAGGCCCATACACGCCTCCTTTCATAAACTAAAAGAGGCTCTCCTAAAAGCTCCAGCTCTTACCCTCCCTGATCCCACCCAACCTTTCATCCTATATACTACTTTTCAGGGCCACAATGCTATGGGTGTACTAGGACACAAAAAGGGACCTTCTTTTCAAGCAGTAGCTTACTTGTGAAAACAGTTAGATCATACAGTAAAAGGATGGGCTCCTTGTCTCCGAGCTCTTGCAGCTGCAGCCCTCCTGACACAGGAAGCTAAAAAGTTTACATTAGGGCAATCTATTACAGTACACTCACCTCATCATCTATGTGAGCTTATCTCATATAAGGTGCTCCCTGCCCTAATGACCCCTTCTCGCCTTCAACAGGTACACTTAGCTCTCTCTCAAGACCCTTCCATCTCTATTGCAACTAGTGGTCCTCTAACTATAGCCACTTTACTTCCCACCTCAGAGGGCCATCCTCACCATGACTGCATTGAGGTCTTACAGATGACTCCCACCCCTTTCCCTCACATCAGTAGCACACCTCTCTCTTTGGCCTTTGACACATGGTTCATAGATGGCAGTTCAAGAAACACAGACAACCAAAAAAGGGCAGGATATGCAATAGTTAACCAGTCAAAAGTTATAGAGGCAAATGCATTGCCACCTGGGACCTCTTCCCAGAGGGCAGAACTTACTGCCCTTACAAGGGCTCTTCCACTAGCAAAAGGCAAGATTATAAATATATACACTGACTCAAAGTATACATTTAGCATTTTACACTCTCATGCCCCTATCTGGCAAGAATGGTGTTTTATTACCACTCAGGGAACCCCCATCATTAATGCTCCCCTTATCCTTAAACTTCTAGAGGCAGCCCAACTTCCAAAGCAGGCAGCAGTTATTCATTGTAGGGGACACCAAAACTCAACAGATCTTATTGCTCAAGGCAATGCCTTTGCAGATTCACAAGCCAAGCTAGCTGCACAAGGGCCCTGCCCTTCTCATCTTCTCCCATTAGTCCCAAACAGTTTACTTCAGCCTAATTATTTACCAGAGCAGTTACAGCTACTTCATAAACCAGGTTACACAGAAAACACTCAGGGATGGATTTTTAGGGATCTAAACTTGTTCTCCCACATCAACAGGCCTTAGACATCATCACTGACCTACACAACTGTTTTCATATAGGATCACAGGCCCTATACAAATAGTCCCTCACCCTTATCTAGCCCCAATAGTCACACACCCTTCTCTAAAAGCTATCATTCTTAAGATTACTCACGCCTGTGATCTCTGTGCCAGGACCTCTCCTCAGGGATGTATGACACCCCCTTCCTTTCCTACCCTTCAGTATCGAGGACACACCCCTGGTCAGGACTGGCAGATAGATTTTACACACATGCCCCACCACAAAACTCGCAAATATCTTCTCACCTTTGTTTGTTCTTTTTCAGGGTGGATAGAAGCCTTTCCCACAACCAGGGAAACTGCTGATGTAGTTACCAAAGTGATATTACAAGAAATCATTCCAAGGTTTGGTCTACCTCAGAGTATTCAGTCAGATAACGGTCCCGCCTTTATTTCTCAGATCACTCCACAGGTATCCTCGAGCTTACACATCATCTGGCACCTACACATCCCATACCATCCACAATCCTTAGGAAAAGTAGAAAAGGCAAATGGCCTCATAAAGACACACCTTACAAAACTCACTTTAGAACTACACCAACCTTGGCCTCAACTTTTGCCCTTAGCCTTAGCCAAGCTCAGGGCACTTCCCCAGGCTCCTACTTTCTTAAGCCCTTTTGAACTTATGTACGGCAGGCCATTCTTACTTCACAATCTTCCTACTCCCCAAAATCTCCCTCCCCTGGCTGACTATGTCCCAGTCCTCTCCTTCCTCCGACACCTGTTGCAACAACATGCTGATCTCTGCCTTCCACAACCCTCTGGAGAAAACAAACCAGATCCTCCCATATCCCCAGGAGATCTAATTTATCTTAAGTTTTCTAAACCCACAGGACTACAACCAAGGTGGAGTGGCCCCCATCTGGTCTACTTGGCTACCCCTACAGCGGTCAAAGTTGCTGGACTCCCATACTGGTTTCACATCACTCAGGCTAAGAGGTGGCCTCCCAGCCCTAAATCTGATCATTCTGAGTGGTCATCTCATCTTCTGTCACCCACCCATCTCGTCTCACAAAGGCCTCACAGCCACAGTTAAGAGGCTAAGTCATGTTTTGTTATCCACTTTGGTTCCTAATTTCTTACATTCTATTAATGATCATTTTTACAGCAGGACTCTTGACAGTCTTTCCTAAAGACTCCCACATCATGCGTAAGATAATCTTCATAATGTTCTATATGATAACAGTCGCAGTTCTTTCTACCCTCAGCTGTCTGGTTAAACATGACATCTCTGAAAGCCTAAGCCCTTACCTTCCCTTTACTGGTACAGCCACTGCCTTCGCTGCTCCCCCTATTCTTTCCAGTTCAACTACTGGACCAGAGACAAGTTTTATATACCTACCCTGTTAACTTTTATGCTTTCAGGTGGGGGAGTAATCACCACTCATAACATCATTTCTCCTGACCTCACACTTAATTTTCAGAATTCTGCCTCACCGTAGAACATGTCTAAATCAAAGGCACCTTTCCCTCTACCTCACCTGGGTCCTTAAATATGACAGTGCCATGTCTCCTCATAACATCTTGTCTCTTTATTTTTCCAGTCTGACATCCGTGCATTCACCAGTGAAGTTGTCCTGGCTAAAACACCTGGCACCAGCATCTACCTGGGCACCAACCTTCATCCTTCATCCTTCAACCTTCATCCCGTCAACTCCCCTAGTACAGCGCCCCCTGCCAGCAGGAAGTAGTTAAAGAGAGAAATCTTTGCCCCTTTTCATAATAATAATCATAAGACGGGATATGAAAGAGTTTTGGCCTAGACAGGACACTGTAGCCAGGAAAGCATCAACTGGAAGCAGGAAGCCCCTATCTCCCCTGCCCCTAGGAATTTATCTGTGACGCCATCTTCCCACCCCTGGGAAATTTACCTATGGCGCCAAACCTAGGACCAATGGGCTCCCTGTGCATCCCTAATGCCCTCCTTAGGTTCCACCCCAAACCGAGGCTACTTACATACCCCACCACGCCACGTGTCCGCCAGAGAGATCGCCGGATGCCAGCGGTGGGGAGTGCCAGCCATCTCTCTCTGTGTTCTCAGAATAAATGCTGCTTTTTATTTTATACTTCTCATCTTTTGGAAATATTTTTCATCTTTTGGAAATAATCCTATCAGAACTAAAGGATTTATGGGTTCATGACTAGCACCCCCATACCCATCATTATGGTGTATTCATGCACAGTGAGCAAAACTTTGACCTCCAATGCAAAAAGCCTCTCGGAAGAACAAGATTCCCTTTTTGGTTTCCATATTCCTTGGAAGCCTCGTAACTGCACAGGCCCACTGTGTGGAACTGGGAGGGCATAGTCACAGGATGTAGCAAGGATTCTGCTCTGAAAAACCTTGGCTAATTGTAAGCTGAGATAACTGAGCAGGTCATCACCCTTCAGCTGCTCTACTTCTGAAAGTGGCCATAGCACCAGTGTTGAAGGAGACACAGAAGCATGTGAAACAACCAGTGGTTTATCCCAGTGCCTCAAACCAGGCCCAATCACCCACAGAATTTACTAATCTCTTGGATTGTGTTAATGTTGCCACCTGACTTCCCAGATTCTGCCTTATTAGCCTTTTCAAACACTTTGTCATTAGGATGATTTCTCAGATGTTGTAGCACCTTTGAGTGTGGTTCCTGCCATCTCAGGCAAAGGGCAAATATTTCAGGTGGAAGAACTGAACGGTTAAGTAATAAACAAACTGTAAAAAATACTCAATCTCTGTGTTCCAAAACCTGAATCTCAGAGTAAAATCCCCAGTGTGTTTAATCAGACCATAGCTTTCTCAATTTTAGCACTATTAGCATTTTGGTCCGGATAATTTTTGTTGGGAGTGCCACCCTCTCCATTATACACTGTTTAGCAGCACTCTAGTCCTCTAATCATGGGACAGCAGTAGGAGCCACCAGGAACTAAAATGACTACCAAGGTCACCAGATGTTCAATTGAGGACCAGTGGGGCGGGTCCCTGAGGTGGTTGGGTAGAGTAAGTGGTGAAATCTGAAACCCAGGTGCACCAAAAAAGTCAGCGAGTGCATTAGCTTAAAACAGATGAAATCTGTCCTTAAAACTGGGCATTGTAGTGTTTGCCTAGGAGCAGAATTACTGAGTCATACAGTAACTCTATGTGTGTGATTTTGAGGAACTGCCAAACTGTTTTTTCAAGGTAGCTGTTCCATTTTATTAACCACCAGAAATGTTTCTCAATTTCTCTATATTCAGTCTAGTACTTACTGTCTGGCTTTTTGATTTTAGCCATCTACCTCATAGCTTTGATTTGCATTTCTCTAATGACTACAGTGTGTCCCTGCAAAGTCACAGTTCAGTTTGCAGCCTGTCATTTGCCGATTTTTATTTAGAAACTAATAATTGGTCACAGAAATCCCCGCAATTTTTACAGACTCTGCAAATAACCTCTGCATCTCAGGCAGAGGTGCTAGCATGCCTGCAAGATAACAGGGTGCTGTACCATGTACGGTTGTCTCCAGTGTTCTTGATTTTATTCTTAAAGTTGTAAGATCCCTAAGATGACACCAAATGGCCTGCACCAAGGCTTTATTAATACAGTATTTTATTAAATTACATAGTTGCAGGAGACATAGCATATTTAGGGTTTAAATAGGAGTTTATGGGCATTTTTCTGACCATATCTGAAATCCTTGGTTTTTGACAATTGCAGATGCTCTAGAAATGTAACCTCCACAAATTTTGGGGTTCCACTATATCTTTTTACCTCTCTTGGAGCATTTGTGTATCTTCTTTGGACAAAGATAAATGTAATCATTATGTACTATAATATAAATAAATTGCTAGTTTGCATATTTAAATTTTAAAAGAAATTGTCAAGCTGGTTTGCAGGATAGCTGTGCCATCTTACATTCCCTCCTACAGTGTATGTGTGATTTGGTTTCTTTCTGCACAAAAGTAGAGTTTCTATTATTTGTAGGAAGGTTGTACGGGGTGGGGGTGGGGGTGGTCTTTATGCACTGATCTCTCACAAAAGGCAAAGAGTAAAGGAGTTTGTTAGAGCCTCAACCGTCATAGAATCTCCCTGTTCTGACTGAGACTTGGCACATTTTCTTGAATGAGTGTTTCCTCATTTGCTGTATGCCTTTATGACAATTCCTAGTCTTTATTTTTTTTATTTTATGTTTTATTTTTTCTTTTATCAGTACCAGGGATCGAATTCAACAATCACATGCTTGCAAGGCAGGCACTTGTGCTACTGAGCTAAATCCTCTGGAGCTGAGTGGTAGCACAGGCCTATAATCCTAGCTATTCAGGGTACTGCGCCATGAGTATCACAAATCCAAACCCCGCCTAGCAATTTAGACACAACTGTGAAAGTCCCAGCCCTTCAAACTTTTTGTTTGTGTGTTTATTTTAAGAACCTGGATCTTACTGTGTTGCCCAGGCTGGAGTGCTGTGGGCATTCCCAGGTGTGATTCCACTACTGATTAGTAAGTGCCGCTTAGTGGTCACCAGCTCCTGGGCAGCCACAGGGAAACTCTACTACAGTTACAGTAGGCATAAAATAGGGTCTGATTGGTTTGCAAAGAAATATCCTCAGGAAGCTGGTGATACACATAAGTTACCACAGAGGTGGTTAGAGAACCTGTCTATATACCTACTACTCATGGACTACCATGGCATCTGGTGGGGTTCGAGGGTAGTTGTAGCTCTGACAAAGAGGATCCTTCTCCCAGGAGAAAGCCCAGTTTGCACTAATGATAGTATTGAGTTTAACCTAAAATAGACGAGCAGACTGGGGTCTTCCCAAGATCACCTAGAAAGGCCTGTTAAAAATCATGTAGAATCTACTTGATAACAGCATCAACCTAGAAGATCTGACCTAAGCTCAGACCAGGAAACTAAGACCCAAATGGAGTGAAGCATACTTAATTTCTAACAGTCTTCTTCTTCTTTTTCTTCTTCTTCTTCTTCTTCTTTTTTGGCAGAATGAATATAATAGCAAGGAAAATAAGAGAAATGACAGGGGCACTGGCAAAGACTCAAAAATTGTCCTCTACCTGGGATAGCATCTTGGAAACATCTTGCAGGGACTCTGTCCTAGACTCTCATTATTCCTTCAGAACAACTTCAAAGGATCGTAGAGGTGATGGAGTAAAAGGACATCACAACAACCTGCAATAGCAAATCTGCCCAGAGAATGGAGAGGTGTTATGGCTTGTATTATTTATTTATTTATTTATTTTTGAGATAGGGTCTCACTGTACAGTGCAAACTAGCCTTGAACTCACTTTGTAGCCTGAGCTGGTCTGGAACTTGCAATGATCCTCCTGCCTCAGTCTCCCAAGTGTTGAGATCACAGGCATGCACCCCCATGCCCAACTCTACGGTTTGTATTTAGATATCCTTCCAAAACCTCAAATGATCATAGGTGGGATTTTTCAGAGGTAACTGGATCTAGAGCATGTGGTGCTGGAATTAAGGATGTGATGCTGGGACTGATTCATGGTGTGATGTCAGGATCAAGGGTGTGAGTGGGGTGGATAGAATATGTGGGACGGAAAGAGGGTTGTCATTGTTGCCTGCCACTTGCTGCATTGCTGCCTTCCTGCCTTCTGCCACCATGAACTTGTTTCTCCTCTGCAATGCCTCTCTGCTATGCCACCCTGCCTTGGAGCCAAGTCAACTATGGACTAAAACTTCTACAAACTGTGAGCTAAATAAATCTTTTCTCCTTTAATCTTAGGTGATGAGTATTTTGTCTTAGCAACAAGAAATATAACTAAGGCAAGAGGTATGTATAGTAGGACAGTTGTAGGCAGGGAGTGAGGAAGCCAGTTCCAATGCTGGAATTCCCACTGTTATCTTCTATTTTGGGAAGAGTTATCTGTCATACCGAGGGGCATCTCATGCATCACATTATAGCATCAGCAGGGTTTTCTACCCAGGTCAGGTCTGGCCAAGTCAGGCAGGTCCACAGCTGCATGAGGCTGGGACTACTCACTGGTAAAGGAAACACAAGTCAGATGCCAGGGTCTCACAGAGCTGGCCCTCTGCATGCTCAGAACCTACTTCTAAGGGGAGCTAAATGGTCATTTTACAGCCAGAATCAACTCTACTCTTTGAAGAGGTTTGGGTCACTAACAACTGTAACCATAGAACAGATACAAAACTCACCAGTACAAACCATGGTATGTTCTGGGCTTCCAGGATATCTCCCCATTTCCCTCCTCAGCACAATTAAGGAGATGCAGAGGATGCAGCAGTGTGTACTTCAGCCGAGAGGCTGAAGTAGAAAAATAACTTGAGCCCAAGAGTTTAAGGCCAGTAGTGACAACACATCAAGACCTGGTCTCTAAAAACTAAACAAAGATTTGAATCAAAAGCAAAGTGTTGGCTGGGGGTTTAGCTCAGTGGCATAAGTGCCTGCCTGGCAAGTGTGAAGTCATGAGTTCAATCTCTGGTACCAAAAAAAAAAAAAAAGCAAAGTGTTTAAAAGTGATCAGGTATGGTGGTTCATGCCTATAATCCCAGCACTTGGAAGACTGAGATAGGAGGATTGTTGCAAGTTCAAGACCAACCTGAACCACACAGCGAGAACTTGTATCAAAAAAACAAACAAAAAGAGTAATAATAAAGAATTTAAAAGTGATTCTCTCTGTGGTAGACTAACAGGTGAGAGGGGCAGGATTGGAGAATGGAAGAAATAGTTATCTCAGTCTTCTTTGTGGGGTGTGTGTGTGTGTGTGTGTGTGTGTGTGTGTGTGTGTGTGTTACTAGAGATTAAATCCAGGGCCTTTCAAATGGTAGACAAGCATTCTACCATTGAGGTACACCTCCAGCCCCTGATTTCTTTTCTCCTCTTTGTACTATGAAAAATTTCAAATCCATAGAAAAGTTGGAAAGCATGTATAATGAAATGTCATCAAAAGAAGTATCCATGGGCCGGGCATTTGGCTCAGCAATCTAAGCACCTGCCTGACAAGTGAGAGGTTGTGAGTTCAATTCCCAGTACCAAAAACAAGCAAGCAAGCAAACAAACAAAAAGTATCCAAGGTCCAGAGTTTAGCTCATCAGCACAAGCACCTGCCTGGCAAGCACA